AATTTCCATACTAAAAATTGAATCATTACGGGAAAGAAATACATTGGTGCTAAAATTAGTCCCCCTCCTTAAAAGTGGAGGAGGGGCTGACTCTGAAATCGTAAATAGGATCCTATTTCCTATTCCTATTTTTTATTACAAATTCAGATTCTACGGCTAAAAGTAGGTAGGATTTGTTTGAAACATATTTTTCGATTCATGATAGCTGTAATACACGAAACTCAAATTTTTTCGATATACTGAGAACCCGATTCTGCAATGTGTTTGAGATAAAAAAAACGTTTTATGTAAATGCTCGAAATTTGTCAATTTTTGTAACCTGTAAATGGCTGGTGAATAATTTACCTATAGAGTAACCCAGGAACAAAGACGAGGATATAGCAGTTTTCTGTTCGCTTCGGGGTGCTTGATTAAAATAAGGTATTTATTAAAATTATTTCTTTCTTTGTACGTTTATTTCTTGTTTTTTCAGATACAAAATATATGAAGAATGGAATAACGCAAATGTTAAATGTAGATATAATAAAATAGTTTTATAAAAATAACACAGACCAACAAGGAAAAAACCCAGGAAGCAGACTATACGTCCTCGAAGGTTTTGTATGCGCTGAATCCAAATTTGGCCTCAGAATTTACCCATCGCTCTAGGTTTCCGAGATATTCTAATCTAAATATGTAAAAACCACGGTTTTTTACTATACTTATTCAAAGTTATATGACATCGCGAATAATTTTTTTTCTAAAAATCAATTACACCACTGAAAACTAAAATCTTTACCCATCAAAACCCTTCTTTTGATTTGAAAAAAATAAGTCAATCATTTTTCGTCAAGATATCGTTAATTGAAAATTACTACTTCAGCTATCTACTTTCTTACATCGTGTCCAAATTAAGAAATTTTTTAGGAAGCAGATATAACGTATTTTTATGTTTTTGGGTCGCTGAATTCGAATCTAATCTCAATATTTTCCAATGATCTAACGTTTTTGAGATTTCCTAACCTAAAAGGTCAAGGTGCTATACTAAGTTTATAAACCGTTGTACACTATAACCAGCAGGCGCTGTTTTCGAAAGGTTAACCGAAGTGCATAGTAACCATCATCTTCTAAATCCACGACAAGTCAAACTCAAAATTTATACCCGAAGCATCCTGTAACCCCATATTATCATTCCCACGGCAGGTTAACCTAAAGGTCCAATAGTAGTAATTTTTAATAAAGATGGTATTTTTAAAACAAAATTTAAAAAATACGTACATTTGAAAGCATAAACTACTCCAATAAGTAATAAGCGCAGGGAATCGCTTTGACCAAGTATTCCAAAAAGAACGCCTGTTCCTTGATTACGATAATAGTAGTTTCTTGACAAGTCATTTTCAGTACCTAATTGAAAATTTGGGAAATAAAATTTGTTTTAAGACTAATTTTTAATACTTACCGCAGAAACGTGGTGTTTTTTTTTGTCGTAAACGTATTGCAGAATCATAAGCATAGGTTCTCAGTAGAAGAAATCGAAAAAATTGAATGTCGTCGATTATGGCGCCATTTATCATGAATCCAAAAAATAATATTTTAGACAAATCCTATGTACTTGTGGCCGCAGAAAGTGAATTTATAATAAAAAATAGGGATTCCTGTTTAATATTTCAAAGTTTCTCCCCGTCCACCTACAAGGAGGGGGAGGGGGGCTAATTTTATCACTGATGTGTTCACTCCATAGAATAGTTAAATTTTGATTATGGACATTTTTTTTGTAAAGTGCTTATTTCTCGAGGTATTTAAAAGTTTCAGGTTAAAAAAATCACCCGGTAGGTATACAAAGAAGTTTTAATATCTTGAAATTTGAGCAATAAATCAAAATTTTAAATTTAAATAATGGATTATAGGTGTGTAATGAAAAATGTTATGGGGGAAAATTACTACTACAGCCTTCTTTCCTCCGTTTATATTTTGACTTATGTTAACCAAAATTATATAAAAAGTTTACAGGCATGAGATACAAGTCTGTGCACAAAATTCAATCATGGTTATGGTCATCTTGTTCCTGGCAAAAAATATTCGTATTTCTGTGTCTTTAGGCACCAGAATTACGAAAATTAGAACTAAATCAAGCAAAAAAACAAAATTGTTGAAAGTCTAATTATTAATTATACAGACACATAATTTGTTATGTTTTTCGACCTGCTGAACACGAATCTAAAGACTTTATCAGTTTGAGACATGACAGAAGTTCTTCAAATGTCATCCACCCTTTACACGAATTGTGTATACGAGAGCTATTAATTCCAATATCGATTATAATTTATTGTATAGATACCTACATTTACTAGACATGCATAATGAAGATTATTCTTTGTTAATTTTAACTTTGTCAGATTATTTGTCAACGAACCGCTGTACCGTAAAAGATAAGAGACAATAATTGTTGAATATTGAAAATGAATGTCTAGTTTATAGGCCTTCTCTTTTACGTAGCACCTGGATGCGATGGAGGGTTGTAAATTGTTTACGACAGGACTGGGACACTTGACATTCTATTCAATTTCGGCCACTTGTTATTTAGTCTAATTCTGACATTCTTTAAATACTTTATTTACGTTTTCTCGTCTAGATACCGCCAATTCCTGAGAGGTAGTTTTATATCTCTGACTGACAACGATTGGGCTATCTTCTTATTTAAAACAAAGAAATAAATAACGGAGTTATTAACAGTCATTTTTTAAATGTTAACTATTATATTATATACGTTAAAAAAGGAAAGTCCTGTTATTTTTGCCCAGAGATACAGAACCCTCAAAAATGTTTATGTTATGGACCAAGTGATAAATCGAGCATTATACATAATGCCCGGTCATTATGTAAAATGCCCAATATGGGTGTGCAATTTGATAATAATTATTCAAATTATCAAATTGACCGGGCATTATACATATTGTCCATCACCTTTTGGGCAGAGTAATACAAACATATTTAATTACTATTTTTTTATTATTATTGTCATTTAACTTAAAATAAACTAAATGTTAAACAATTTAAATAATCAGACTCATTATTTGGATTAATTAGCAAGGATTTCTACATTAAGAATCCACTAGTTTCTGCATTTAAAACTTAAGGAAAGTCATATTAAAAATATAGGTAACACAAAACATATAAAATTTAAAACAAACATTTCACAACATTATCTTTGTTTTATAGAAGTTTTAAAACATAAAATAAACTAAAGTTTAAGCAATCAGACACATTATTTGGCATAATTAGCATCTAATAGTTTTCAACACTTTAAACTTAATAAAAGTCAAATGAAAATATATGTGCTTCCCTCCCCGCACCGTGTCAAATTTAGCTTTATTATCAAATTGCCCAATTGTCACGTTGCAATATAATAATGACCGTGCAATGTGATAAATAATGAAGTTTAGATAGTAATTAATCACTTAGCCCGATAGAGCTAGACATTATTCATAATGCTCGGGCATTTTTTATAATGCCCGCATTAATCACCTGGTCCATAACATTTACAAGCCACGTGACTACTGAGTTTAGACCACCCAACATTGTAAGGCTGGTACTGGTAACGAAAATTCCCTAAATATTGCGTCACTCGTTTACAATGACCAACGACAAACCGTTACGTCTAAGCTCGAGGTAATGCAATCGCTGATTGGTTGAATAATATCTCGTGAAAAATTATACCAATCACAACCGGTGAAACAGGGAGTTGTGTTTTAATGTAACCTTGATCTTATTATATTAATAATTTTTAATTTTACCGAAATTTGATGGTTAACATGAAGCAAATAAAATTACTGTTCCAATCAAAGTTACTGGTCATGGGGCTTGTAATCATTTATGAAGGTTCTACAGGGTGTCCCGAAATTCATGCAACAAAATTTGGTCATAGATTCTTAAGACAAATTTAGGGGACCCGTATCTTTACTTTTTGCCAACTGGCCCTCTCTTTCGGAGTTATAGCCCCCTGAAATCTGCTCCTAAGAACTCTTTTTTATATTTCAAAACCATGTTGTACGAGAATCACTAAATTTGGTACACAGGGGTTTTAAGTCATGTGGAATCTCACAGTGCTACGCTTTTTGGCGAGAAACCCCCTTTAGACACTTTTTCGTGGGTCCCCTTGTCTTTGGAACAAGAAAAATTTGGTCGCAAATTTGATTTTTTTTTAATTATTGGTTAGCTAGAAAGCCATCGAATTTAGAAACTTTTTTGTTTCTTGATATTTGTTTCGTAAAACGCAATGTTTTTGAGGAAAATGGCGAATTATGATATGCATTCGATCACATTTTGACATTTTTCTCCAAAAAAAAAAAAAAAAATGCGTTTTACGAAAAAAGTATAAAGACACAAAAAGTTTCTAAATTTAATGGCTTTCTAGTGCACTGATAATTTTTAAGAAATTTAAATATGCGACCAAATTTTTTTTGGCTCCAAAGACAAGGGGGCCCACGGAAAATTGTCTTAAGGGGATTCCCCGCTAAAAAACGTAGCACCATCAGACTCCACATGTCGTAAAACCCCTGTGTACCAAATTTAGTGATTCTCATACAACAGGGTTCTGAAATATAAAAAAAAGATAATTCTTAGGGGCGGACTTCAAGGGGCTGTAACTCCGAAAGAGGGGGCCACTTGGCAAAAATAAAAAATACTGGTCCCCTAAATTTGTCTTAAGAATCTGTGACCAAATTTTGTTGCATGAATTTCGGGACACCCTTTACTTAATTTATTATAATCCCGTATAACATTCAAAGCTTTAAAATATTAGAATATTTTTATTAAAATAATAATAGTAATTCATTTGTTTTCTCTAAACATCTCTAAAATTGGTATACAAAAGAAGAACGGCAGCTCTGACGTTTTTTATAATTTCTACGATGCAGAGACGGTTGTCATTATCGATATTTATTAAAATCTAATAAATAATAATTCTTATTTTATAGAGACAATCTGATTCATTTGCATTGTAAAATTCAAATATTACTGACCTGTTGTAAAGTACATGAACCCCTGTAGTTTCATTTAAAGGCTGTACAAAGTGAGGCACACCGTCAATATTAAAATACGCCGTTACGGAGGGCCCGCACAAAGTCACAGCAGCTCTGGAAATCCTTTCCGTTCCTTGAACCACCCCTGAGTGGTAATCGCATTTCTTGGTTTCCCTCAAATTCCTGGTTCCGTCGTAACCGATCCACTCAGTTTTGATGCCGGGAGCAACAAGAAAACTGGCTTCGGATTCCGAATCAAGCTGAATATTCAAACCTGCTACTTCAACAATTTTAATATTATCGGATTCCTCGTAGTACATATTTCTGTGAACATCTCGTCGTTTTCGAACGGTTTTCTCCACCACTCTGGGATAAACTATTTGCGTGTTTTTTATGCGTCTTAAATCTAAATCGGCACGAATTTGTTGAAATAACGAAAGAAATATTAAATTAACTGCGAGTACATTAAAAACCCACGCAGTATTACACATCTTGAGATAAACTGTTACAATTATAAACAGTGTAGTGTAATACTACTTAAATTGACGCAAAACATATGTTATAACGTGGAAGTGTTTATATTCTGTGAATTTTGTTTAAGTGTGTAAAAGTGTTCGTTAACTGAAGAGTATGCAATGTGAATGAAACCATTCTTAGATTTAAATTCACCGCTGAATTTTAACGGCTCCATTAAGAAAATAGTAATTGTTGATAAATTATAGAATTTGTAAATCAAGTGTAAATTGTCAACAATGAAACTCATTGCCGTTAGTTAGGGAAAAATACAAGTTAATTGTAGGAGACGAGTAACTTTAATTAATGCAATTCAGTTAATTGTTCCTAGTAAATTATTTTACATGCCGTTATTTTTAACAAGAACTTAAATATAATGTGTCAATCAGCGGATTTTTGTTGAAATGAGACAGATTAAGAAGTACTTATAACCAGCAGCACCATCTATCTAAAATTATTAAATGGCACTACTTCACTTGCTACGGTGCATAATTTTGAAGGTAATTTTATTCTCTACTTTACCTGTAAGAGAAATTTTGAAATCTGTAATTTACCTGTTTAAAAGGTTATGTACAAAAAAAGCACCAGATCCGATTATTTTTAAAAGACAAATTCAACTTTAACCTGATGAAAAATTTATTAAATGAATATTTTAATATTAATTAAAGTACATTTAAACTTATTTAAAATACAAATTTGGATATTTTTTTAATGTCTGATTTAGGTAAAAAAAGTTTGTTTTTATTTAAATTAATCAATCAGAACAATAGTAGACTCTTTTAGAGTGACGTCACATATTTAGGCAACCCCCAACAAATTATCATAGTTGAAATTGTACAGACCGAATCTGACCCTTGTGTACTATTTACAAAGATGCTATAAAAATGAACAACTTCAAATTAATTTATTTTTACAAGGATTTAGAAGTATTTAAGAACAGCCAACACGTGTTTCGTAAAATAGATACACTAATGTGCTTAAAACTAACAAGAAAACGATATAAAAGAATATTCCTAAATTTAAATAAAGTAAAAATTTAACATTCATGTTAAAGTCATGTCAGTCATGTTATTCCTAATCCGCATGCTCAGAAAGAGAAGCCTCATACGCAGGTGAAATCTTGTTGATATATCATCGCTGTGATCATTAGAAATACCTAAAAGCATGATATGTTTAAATGATTATTTAAATATAAACAATTTTTCGTACATAACCAGAGAAAGGAAAATTTTCTCCCGTTTCGATGAGCTTCTTTTCTTAAATACACAAAAAATGCACTCATACTAACTGGGCTTTTAGACATGATAATATATCAAAAATGGTTACAAAATTTAGGAGAAAGAAAGCAAGATATCACAAAGTTGACTTATACATAACCATAACCAAACTTTTCTTTAATAATATCCTGGTGCGAGGCTACTTCGCATACATGAAATTATCTTTAATGCGCCTGCTCAGTAACATGGATATAATTTTAATTTATTAATTACTATAAAACTCAATATTGTTCTATAAATTTAAATATATAAATTCTATAATCGTTTTAGTTTGTCACTTGGGGCTTGAAACTTCTTAAATATTTCTAATATTGCCAGAATATCGCGATATTTAAGGTCATGACAAAGAAGACATTTTTTTGGCGCTTATGTCCAAGGTACATAAGGTCGAAAATCGATCTAGTAAAAATATTGAGAAATTCTTCATGACAATGTGCACTATGGGGTTGCCTATTATTTGGCGTATGTGACGTCACTACTAAAAAATACTATTGTCATATATTTGTTTACAACAGTTTTTATAATTTAGTTTATTTACTGACTTCACAATAGATATGTATGTTCAATTTTGTCATGTAACCGATACGTATTGTACTCTTTTGCTGCTAAATTTCCCAAATATGTAGTGTCCTTTTTGCATTCGTCTGCGCAGAAGGGAACGGAAGTAGGGGCAGAAATATGTGTTTGGGTGTGTTGTCTTGTATTTGTTAATTAGATTGTCAAGTTTTTTGTGTAATTGAATTGTTTTTGTCCGATTGTTTTAATATTATTTGCAGCAATTTGTTTTATCAGGATCTGAATTTGTAAGCTTTGTCTGTCGTTTTGTTCGGCTAGTTTGCGTATTNATAATGATAATGATAATGATAATGATAATGATAATGATAATGATAATGATAATGATAATGATAATCATAATAATAATAATAATAATAATAACATACATGTGCACAAACATACACTAAACTTACAAGAACAAAATTACAAATTATACAATAATAGCAACAATAGCATGGAGTGCAACAGTTACACCGTCAAAAGATCCTTATCTAAGTAATATTCGTCTATGGTATAACAACATTTACTTAATAACAGATCCTTGACTTTGCGTTTAAAATGCAATACATGTAAATTTTTAAAACAATTAGGAAGATGATTATACATCTTAATACCCGCATATGAAATAGATTGTTCGAATTTATGAGTTCTATGCCTCGGTAATACCAATAAATTAGGATTCCTTGTTGTGTAATGATGCAGAGACGATCTATGAAGATATTTGTTCAAATTTTCTTTGATGTATAATAAAGAACGAAATATATAAATGCAGGGCAAACTCATAATTTTATTATTAATAAAAACCGGTCTGCAAGAGTCCCTAGGAGAGAGATTGAAAATAATTCTCATAATTTTTTTCTGCGATCTAAATAATATAACAGTGTTGGTGGCACAACCCTACAATACTACATTATAAGTAAGCAGATTATAAACCAGGCTGTAATAAATAGTTAACAATGAAGTCATTGGCAGTGATTGTCTTAATTTTAATAACGCATAGTATGACTGATTAAGCTTTTTAATTAATAAGGATATATGATCCGACCATCTTAAATTGTCGTCAATATACACTCCCAAAAATCTGGTGCATTTTTTTGAAGTTATCGAATTGTTACAAACAGTAAAATTTAATGGGGGTACCGGCGTTGTGTATGAGGAGTGGAAATAAATACATTCGGTTTTATCTATATTAACTATCAAGCCATTTTTCTCGCACCAATTGGCGAAGCATTGCACCAAACTTTTAGTTGACAGTTGGAGTCCCTCCCGGGTTCCAGCAGTAACCACCAGCGATGTATCGTCAGCAAAAACAGTTAAATTTTTTTAAACAGTTGCATTTATATGAAGGCGTAAGTCGTTTACAAATAACAGAAAGATTAGAGGACCCAACACGGAACCCTGCGGTACACCTTTATCTACATCGTACATCTCAGACCTTGCATGCTTAAATTTAACGAACATTTTTCTATGTGAAAGATAATCGACAAGCCACTCCAGGAAGATCCTAAGTTTTACAGTTTGCTTTTAATAAATTTGATATTCAGACAATCAAAGGCACGTGACAGATCAAATAAATGTCATCAAATAAATTGCATGCAGCCGACTGCGTCGACCTTCCAGCCCTAAAGCCATGTTGGCAATTACTTATAATTTTAAACTTATCCAAAAAATCTAAAATTCGATTATAAACAACTCTTTCAATGGTTTTGGATATCACACTTAAAATCGTAATCGGCCTGTAATTCGCTATGTTTTCAGCGTCATTCTTCTTATAAATAAGCAAAACAGTTCCCATTTTGAAAATAGATGGAAATTTACCGCTGCTAATCGATAAATTAATTATGTACGCAATATGTCTGGCTAAGACAGAACAGCCAGGTTTTAGAATTCTCCCAGAGATATTATCCAGACCTGTAGAATTTTTATTATTTAATTGTTTGATTGAGTTTTCAACTTCTTGCGGCTGAACAGGTGTAAAGAAAACGGTTAAATGAAACATATTAGAAATCGTAAAAGCAGTGGGTCTAAACTTGCCGTAGAACTGGGTTAGAGTCTTCTCAGTTATATTTGCAAAGTAATTGCCAAAAGCAGAAGCAACTTTTTGTGAGTCGTGCTCCAAACTTCCTTCAATGTAGATCGATACGTTATGGAGTGTTTTATTTCTCCCAATTTCTCTATTGACTATATTCCAAACGGTTTTTGTTTTGTTGTTAGATTTATCAATTAAGTTCTTAAAGAAATTACGTTTACTACTTTTTAGTAGTGCAGTGTACTTCTTTTTTGCATCTTTATAAATAAGGTGCGACTCCATATCGCCGATCGCATTACACAGCCAATATAAGTTTTTACCGGCCTGAATAATTTCCCGAGTTATCCAACCAGATTTAATTTTATTGTGAGGTCTGGGCTTGTATTTTATTAAAGGACAACACCTATCAAGAACAAAATTAAGTATAAACTCTACTTACAATAAGACCCGCTGCAGACATGGCGCAAGGTGCTATTGCGGCGACAGACTTTGCTTACGGTTCTAGAAAGCAGAGCTTCATACATGATTACAAGCCACATGACCAGTAATTTTTTTGGAAACAATAATTTTATTTCCTTTTCCTAATTACTAAAACAATAAAATAAAATCAAGATATGTTAAAGCGCAACATTTCGTTTTACCAGCTCATGATTGGTGTAATTTTTCACATTTCATTCAACCAATTAGCGATCTGATTATTTCGATGATTACTTAATGGTTTGTGTGCGTTTTTCAGTAACGTCCATTGTCCGAGTCTGTTATTGTTTCCATTCATTTTCTGCCATCGTTTTATTGTCTCATATTTGCATTTAAGTTTTACATATTTCATATCTAAAGTTTTTTGACACTTCGTCAGATTACTGGTAAGTGGTAATAGAAACAAAATTTTGAGGTTAATAATATTTTTATTTCAGAACGTATTATGCCATTTACTCCACAACGAGTTGCCTTCATTTGGAAGTGAAACTCGAACATTTTCTTAAACCGGAAATTTGCTATTGTCAAATAAAAAGATTTGAAACCAAACACTGCATTTGCAAAAAGAAATTTACGGGCAAATCAACTGTATTTACAGAAAATGTCGTCGATAATATACAGCAACGAATTAGTCAAAGCC